ACCCGCAGTCCAAAAGAGGTGACCCAACAAAGACTCTTGCAAGAGTTCTTTGTGTTCTACCCTCTTATATTCTTAATGTAGTAGAAATTTTAAGAATTGAAAACTTGATCACATTTCAACTTTGGTTGTGTATTTTGAAAACAAAATCACGACCTTGAATCTAAAAGGAACGTGTCTTGGTTGAAAAACTCCTTGTCCTGAATCCACAAAATGAAGAAATTTCTTCCCTTAAGTTCACAAGGGGTTGATCTTGAATCCACAAGATCGAAAATGACTCCGAAAGTCCACAGGGATACTAGAATCCACCAATAGAAGGAGAGAACCTCCAAAAGGAAGAAAACTCAAAATTGATTGATAAAAACATATCTCCTTGGGGCTATAAGGGGGGCCCTATTTATTGGCCAAAAATTGATTATAATTAACCTATAAATGGGAGAATCTGTTATGATCCTAGAAAATAGGGAGAAGAAAATATATTAATACTTTCTATGAGAAAGGAGGATTTTGTTAGAAGGCCCCTAAGAAATAGGAATACGATAAACATAATAGGAGAATTACTTTACATGAATAAAATGTGTGAATTTTAAGATTCAGGCTTATTTAACATGTGACCAAATCTCTTAGTGGGTCATTTGAAGCTGAATGTGGGCAAAATATAATCTTCATGTCTCTTGAGTTTCTTATTCACTTGAGTTGGTCTAAAACTTCATTGCACTTACTTCTATTGCTTTTTAGCCTGTTTGATGCAGATTCTATTAATTCCTTCACCTAAGTCAAAAACCTCCATCCCTCATTTAATAGTAGTTTATGGCCTATATCAATTCCACTTTCTGCCAAACTCCTCTAGATCTTCAGAGTTGAGGCTCCTCATGTGTAGCCCATACTCTTGCTTCAGTAAATTCAGTTTCTGTCTCTCCATTTCCGGCCAGTCAAAGCCCACCTAAGGTTCGAGTGTAGACCATCCCATCTGAGGCACCTATCATCTCCCTGAGAAATAAACCTCGTGGAAGAGCCCCTTGCCAATGAGCCTCTCTATTCATTGCTTCGAAGGGGAACCGTTTCGACACCCGGGGGATCCTTCTGGCTGTTCTGGTTGTTTGCAGACAGATATGTTCTCACCCGATGGAAATGCTTCATTAAATATAGTGAGGGAGGGTGGCCACTAGACCGGCTGCGCGGCCCGATCGGACCCCCATCAATCATATCGATTGCATGCATCTGTCAATCTTTATATTTCAATCGCTGCTTATTTCTGTATGTCGACCACTATCTTAGGCCCTATAAGGTGTAATTTCTTCCCATTTTCATCGTACTGTTCCAATATCAATTTTGTAATTAATCAGTCGTATGCTTGGTGTTCTGCGGGTCTCTCTGGAACATGGGGCACTTGAATGCTTGCCAAGCAGAAAATTTGGTGTTTCCGAGTGGAGCGCCAACGAAGTCGAGATTTGGCAGACACAGTTCCAATATTTGAATGCTTGATTTTTAAGCAGAAATACCTGAATTTCTCAGACACAGTTTAAATGTTTCTATCTTTATGGCCTTCATAGACCTTGATGGCGATCATGTAGTGGCCTGGTTGCGACCTTTAGTGGTAAGACGATTGTTTTACACTGAAGCTCGACACGTTAAAGCACACTGTCGGATAATTTAATGGTTTTCATTTTTAGAGTTAGCCCCTCAAAATCCCAGACGATCGACTACAAATGTTGATCGAGAGTGCCTGTTTACGCTACACCCAATTTTCTTTTTATAACCATTTTTTTAAATGCGCCAGTAATTTATTTACCGAGATATCTGCCTAAGAATTTGTCTGACTATATCTTGCAGAGATTTAACTGATTAGTGAAGCCATTCCATTCCTGATAACCGACCTCGTAAGTGTGAAAATCCCATATTTGACTCCCATCCTCCCGTCTGAGCCTCCCTTTGCGGGGCTGCCAATATTTTCCCCTTCAGAAATATATAAATACGCATCCATGATTCTAATCAATTAGTTAGAACGTAAAATCGCCTTCAGTGATTAGCTCTCTCTCTCTCTCTCTCTCTCTCTCTCTCTCTCACACACACACACACACACACACTCACGCGCCGTGTAACCTCTTAGAATTTCGCCCAGACAATTGGGAGGGTCTTCCAGGTCATATTCTAAGTTGCTTCGGCTTATTTAACCGAAATTTCTATTGAAATCGGATGTCAAAGGGATCCAAGGTTTTTAATCATAAATTTTGATGTAATTTCAAAATCAACCGTTTGAGTCCTGGCAGATTCGAGAGTGCAGGAGGGATAAGGCAGGTCGCAGAAAGCGAGTAACTGGAGAGAGGGGAGGGCGGGAAGGGTGGAAGCGAAACTGAAGGGAGAGAGGGGAGAAAGAGAGAGGGAGAGGGAGAGGGAGAGGGGAGTGAGAGAGAAACTGAAACTGGGCAGGGGGCAGCTTTGTCGGATGGGCCCTTTGACGGGATTTTGATTTCGACGCTCAAAATTGCTTCGAAACCTATCGGAGCGTCGGGGTTTAGAAAGTCGATAAATACACAGAAACAAACCTCGGCTGCGTGGGCCCAGAGAGCTCTTCCTTCGCCGCCATAATCTGCTTCCCGGTGACGCACCCACCAGAGCAATCCCAGGGTCTCGGCGCCGTCATCCTCTTCCCTGGAAAGGAAGGTTAATCTTCTCTCACCTGCCCCCCTGTCTTCTCCTATCCTCCGTTGGCCGTCCCTTCTCTGTCTGTGGTGGCAGGTGCGGTCATCCACGCGCTCTCGTAGGTTGTCTTCAAAGGTTACAGCGACTAGAGCTTCTAGATTTCTGATCTGGTGTTTGTCGCAGCGATGGTTTCCTGCTTTTGCACCACGATTATCGTCATCATGTTTCCGGCTGGGAATCTCTGTGATGATAATTTTTCATGATCTTTCCCGATGACGAGTAACTAGCAGCTGAATCCCATGCATCCGCCTTCCAGTGGTCGTCCGGTACACCAAATGCGATCCTGTCATCCGGCTGTCGTCGCCTTCTCCGGCAAGGCGTCGGACTTTGATACGGTGGACGTCGTTTGCTTGTACCGGGGAGCTCTCCTCCCTCCGGCCAGGCTGCGTAGCTCTTCTTTCTCCCTTCTTTTCCGAGCTATTGGGGATCCCGACCCTATCTTCCAAGTCCATTCGCAGGGTCTCCTCTTGCAGACGTCGGAGAAGTACCTGAAGACAACGGAGAGGAAAGAGAACCGTGGGTATGCCCGGAGTCTCTGTTAGGGCCGGCTCACCCCGTTGACAGTTCTAGGGCTGTCCCCAGATTCTTCTACCTCTCCCGGTCAGGAACTATTTTTACGATCGCCACTGTCGATGGTTGAGAGGGAAGGTGAAGACGATGGTCCCAATTTTATATCCCCATGCTGTTTATTAGTTCGGCGCGAAGATATCCCCCACCTCTCCCCTCACGTTACGGCGGAGGGCCACGCCTTCGGTCTCTCTCTTTCCTTGGAGCTCACCCACCGCCTACCCCAAATCAATCCCCTCACTCAGGTAGTCACGTAACACAGAAATGAAGCCGTAGTCTGGTTCCGGGGGACGATCCGACTGCTCCCACGTTCATACTCCCTGGAGGTTGGAAGAATAAGATCAGGAAAGTCAGAGAGAGCGAGAGAGAGAAGATGGGGGAGGTCAGGGTGGTGGTCGCCACCCAACGCCGTCAGCCAGCCACCGCCGAATCCGCCTGGTCGCCGCTGGCGGCGAATTGCCATTCTTCTCATTATAACGTGGCCTTTATGCTCTCATCTGCGTTTTAATTACATATTCAAAGCTATCGGGCATTCCCAGGTTGGAGTTCGGCGGACGACCCACCTGTTGTGAACGGGAGCCTTGCACGTGGCCCCTCGCATAACGGCATAGTGCGGTTATGCGAGAAGTGCGTTGACGTGAACACGTCAACGCACAAAGCGGTAATGCGGAATTTTCTGCATGATGCGCGTTATTAGCCAATTAGTTATTTCTTACGGTTATTTCTTTCTCCTTTGTTTTCTTATTTAAAGAGGGCTGTAAGAGTTTTTCAAAGAGCGAGAAAGTTTTCCTTGTTCCTCCTGCTGTTTTTCCTGTGACTCGTGAGGTGATCTCGCCGGCGACGTCTTAACTGCCGTCGTCTCTCCGGCGAGTTTCTGACTCCACCGCGCCATCACGCGCGCGGCACTGGTCGATGCCTCGTCGCCGGCGGCGCCTAGCGTGTGGCCCCTCCCAGCCGTGAGGAGGCACGCACAAACGGACGAACGCCACGTGAACGTCAAAGAGATGAGCATCTCGGAGGGGGGAATAACAGGAAGAGGGCTGGCCCAGCCATACGAAGCTCCTCTGCGGCCACCCGATCCGGTGCAGGCCCTCAGAGACCTCCGATCTCCATCACCGGCCCCGCCGCTGGCCCCCTCACTCACCCAGCTTCATCTGTCCTATTCCTTGGCGGAGAGGAGGGGATAAGAAGAGCGAGCGTGTGCCTTCACGTGGGAGGGCCCCAGGGATTGGCGGCGAGCCGCCCCGTGTCCTCCTCAAGAAAGGGAATTTATTTATTACTCTACGTGCGAGACACGGTGGCGCCTCTTTATTGATGATATGCTTTTCTGTTATAAATTTTAATTCATCGGTGCCTGCAGTCCGCAAGAACCTTTTTTTTCGTATTTTTCTGTGAATTCCGGATGCGGGAATGGCCATCTGGGTTATGGAGGGTGATGGGCCCTGCCGACTTCTTGTTTCCATCGCCCTCTCTCTCTCTCTCTCTCTCTCTCTATCTCTCTCTCTACTGGTAGCAGTAATATAAAAACGATATCAATCGGAGACGATTTCCCCTCCATCTGTTCTCGATAGGAAAGTTGCGTCCCTGTGACCCAGAAAGCCGGAAAGGAAAAGCAATCTCCGCCGGAAGAAATCTATCCCTCGTCTGCCTCATCCCTGTGCTCCGTTTTGCAGCGATCTTCTCTCCCGATCGTGTCCGTCTGCGGCCCTCTGTGGTGCCCCTACCTCTCCGAGATGTGTGGAGGAGCGATCCTCTCCGACCTCATACCGACCGCCAAGTCGAGGCGGCTGACGCCGGACTTGCTCTGGCCGGATCTCAAAGAAGACTCACTGTACGGCTCCAAGCATCGTAAGAAGAGGGCCCACCTTCTGGTTGAGGAGGACGACTTCGAGGCCGACTTCCAGGAGTTCAAGGATGATTCCGAGGAGGAGGAGGAGGAGCTGTTCGACTCTCAGCCCTTCGCCTTCGGGTCTCCCAAGGCCTTCCCTGCGCGCGGTAATTTCTTTTAACCCGGGACGGAGAAGGATTTACGTCCCGTCCATCCCTATTTTCTGTGGTCTGCCCGCGCGAGATCGGGTATCTCTTCGCGGTTTTCGCCGGAGATCGATTGCAGACGTCGTTGATCATACCGTTTTCCGCTATAGATCTCATTAAACGTTCTGATTTGTCGATCCAATGCGTTTCCCATGTCGTTGCACATCGCCTTGTTGGATTAATTTAGGGGGTTTCGCTTCTTCCTCATGATTTCTGGTTCCTCTACCCCATCCCGGACCCTCCCATCCGATGGGGTCACCGTTGTCTCAGAGGGCCTTGATATGGGTTGCTTTTCTCGCTGAAGGGTTGGTCTGATCAGCTTCTCCTAAGACTTGGAGGAGGAGGAGGAGGAGGAGGAGGAGGAGGAGAAGAAGAAGAAGAAGAAGAAGAAGAAGATGATGATGATTCCGCTTAGGATGGACCACAAGTTTAGGGTTTCCTTTCTTTCGTGGCTTATTGCGCTTTCCTGCCCAAGATTGCAGCTTTTTTCAAACTTATAGGATCTGGGTGGGGATACCCTTCCTCGTGAAAGTTGGGCGCCAGAGTTTTCCATTTTTTTCTTTTTTTTTTCTTGTTGTTTGATGTTTTCATTCGTCCTGCGGGCGGATGGTTCGTGTTCATGCCCTTTCCGTTTTTTTCCCCTGAGCAGTGGAAATCGCTTCCTATTATTATTACGAGGAATGGAATATTATAACTTCTCCAATCCCCAGCACGGTCAAACCCATCGTCGCGAGATTTCTGCGCATCCAGAGACCATGATTTCGCGATCGTTCTGATCGGCCCTCTTCCCATTCTTCCCGGTAACTCATCGTGTGATTTAGCAACTGATCCTCCGTCGGCTTCCGCCGCCGATGTTCTTTCTTGCACCAAATCGATCAACGGAGACGCGACACGGATCAACAAAACAGATCTTTCCCCGTGCTTTTAATTATTTGGGTCGTAGATTTTTGATGTAGGATCGGGTTTTAGGCACACCCATGGCGGAATCCTTTTGTGGCAAATTCCCATCCATCTATCTCATATCTTTTGGGAGGATCTCTGTGAACTGGATGCCCATCTGCTGTTCGGTCTCCATCTGGTTTGAGTCGACGAGGGCTAACAGGTCTCTATTTGGTGGTTCCCCCTTTTTGGTTGCAGAGGGGAATCCAGCGGTGAAGGCTGGTGAATTCGGGGAGCTGTCGGCGAAGAGGAAGAGGAAGAACCAGTACCGGGGGATCCGCCAGCGCCCGTGGGGCAAGTGGGCGGCGGAGATCAGAGACCCCCGGAAGGGAGTCCGCGTGTGGCTGGGCACCTTCAACACCGCCGAGGATGCGGCGAGGGCGTACGACGCCGAGGCCCGCAGAATCCGGGGGAAGAAGGCGAAGCTGAACTTCCCCGAGGGCGGCGCCGCCGCTACCCAGAAGCGCGCCGCCGCCGCCAGGGCTAACGCGTGGAGGGCCCCCGACCCGATTCCGCCGCAGAGACCGGGCGGCGCCGACCAAGGCTCCGACTACATGAGCGACGTGGACTCCATCCTAAGCCTCGTGGAGGAGAAGCAGCAGCAGCAGCAGCAGCCAGAGTTCCTCAGCTCCTTCCCTGCGTCGTCGAGCTCGCCGGTGGCCAGCGGGAGAGGGCAGTGTTTCCAGTCGGACCAGAGCAGCAACACCTTTGGGTACTCGGACCTCGGCTGGGAGCGAGAGTCCAGGACGCCGGAGATCACCTCCGTCTTCGCGGAGACCGAGGGTGTGGAGGACGCCGGAAACTCTCAGGAGAAGCAGGAGAGCGACTCCAGCGAGGAGAACACCGCCGCGAAACTCTCCGAGGATCTGTCGGCGTTCGAGACGTACATGAAGTTCCTGCAGATCCCGTACATGGAGGGAACTCCAGCGGAGCCGGCGGAAAGCCTCTTCGGCAGCGACGCCATCCAGGACGGCGAGAGCGCCGTCGACGAGCTTTGGAGCTTCGACGACATGCCCCTGGCGGGCCCCGTCTTCTGACGGACGACGAGTGCCTCTCTACTTGCGCTTCTACTTTCTGTAAATAAGGTGAGGTGGCAGGAGGGGGCATCAGAGCCGCCGCCGTCGACCCGAACCTCCGAGTAAAAATTCTACTACCTCTGGGCGGTGTGTGGGTGGATCTCGCTCTACTTGCAGAGACTCTTCTCTCGGTTTTGATGTTACGGACATCTACCTATTCTCCACCCTCCTCTCCTGCGGAGTCGTCCTCGACGGGATGACGCCGGCTGCCGGCCGTGTTGTTGTTCGTTTCGTGTTCTTTCCTGCAACTCCGGCGATCGGCTGGCTTCTATCCCAACCTCCGCTCGGCGGCGCTCAGCAGAGGCGTCGTTTCCTCGTCTCTTTGACTGGCCGGCGCAAGGGTCAGGTGATAAGCTTGGATCTTACTCGGCCTCCGCATCTCGCCTGTTATTTTGGCGGCGCTCTCTCTCTCTCTACCTGCTCTCTCTCTGCTCTTGCTCAGAGCCAAGAATCAAACCACGTGTGTGGCCTAGGCAATTACCACGAGAACATTAAACGTCCTTGGAACAGGCACCCCGCACTCGAACGCGCGTGAGCGTCCTGTGACGTGGCCATTGCGGTCTGCCACGTCACACAAACGCCAAGCGTCGGAACAGAAGCCGATCCCTGCAATTATTATTCCTTTGTTTTTTTCACATTAATATTAAAAATAATAGGCCTTTTTTGTCTATTTTTGCCTGATGCGGGAATTTTAATAGAAAGCCACGTGCCGAATCCTGGTAGGACGCGCGGCAATGCCCGACGAGCGGACGCGGGTTTTCGTGGTACGTGGAGAAGGGTTTTGTCGTCGGGCCACGCCGTCACGTGACCACGTTCGTGAGGCGATGACCCCGACTAGACTGGTGCAGGCCGGGCCTCGTCGCTATAGTAAGGGAGATATTTTGAGAGCGAGAGAAAGACTGTTCAAGCAGCCCTCTGCAGCTTTTCACTGAACGCGTAAATACAGGCTCCACGTACGAACTCTACCGCGTACGCACACGCCGACGAGTAGGGGTCTCTCTTTCTCTCTCCCTGGTGACCCCGGATCATCACGCAGTCCGCTGAGCTTTTAGATAAGGTTTGACTGCCGGATTTCTCTCTCCGGCAGCCTCGCCGTCCGACGGAAAAGTTCGAACCCTGAGAAAGCAAGCCCACGAGAGGGAGGACGGGGTCGACGCGCGAGTACTGCAAGAGGCCCTTGCAGCACGTAGTCTTTCGGCCGAGGCAGCGCCATTATCGTCCCCGACACCTCTTCAGGGGCTAGACTGACGGGCACTTATTTCCCCTTCTCCGACGGGGGACGGCCAGCAGGTCCTCTGGCAGCATTCGGTAGGTGAGCCCCAGTCCCCCCCCCCCCCCCCCCCCCACCCCCCCGGGTTCCCGTCCCGTCCCGTCCCCTCAGCCGGAGATTCGTTGCAGGCAGGGGAACCAACGGAGGTGAGAAATTTCAGTTCTGCTCACCATTCGACGCAAACCCTAAAAACGGGATCATCTTTGCCGCGTCTTGCACGGTTGCGCTTCTTCTTCGCTGTACAAACGCAGCAGCGTGAGCGGCCACACTTTCCAGCTTACAGGGAATTGCCGACCCAGCAAGCTCAGACACTCCCGGGGACAGATGGTTTTCGATCGATCGAGAAGTGACAGGACAACGAGGAAGAAAGAGATAACATCAAAACTCTCCGCTCCGAGGGAGAGGGAGAACCCCGTCCCGAGAGGAGGGGAGACACGAAGGCCAGGCGGCCCCGCTTGTTTCCGCCCCCGCGCCGGTTTTTCGCTGTCGTCTGGTCCGTTCGGAGGGAAGAGAAAAAATCTCTGCTCATCACGGCAGCGGCGCCTGCACGGTCACCACGATTGGGCTGGTCACCGTGTGCCGCCCGTCTGACCAGGTTAAGGTCCCGCTCTTGGTGGTGGAGCTTCCCGGCGACTGCCACTCCGCCTCCGTGTCCTCCTCCACCCTCACGAGGAAGCTCAGCTTTTGGCCCGTCCTCCGGAACACCAGGCGGGCGGGCTCAACGGTTATGGTGCTTCCCCGCGGCGCCTTCACCGTGGCCTCGTAGGCTGACCTGCCGTCGCCGACGTTGGTCACCGTGCGGATGATGTGGGTCGACATCCGCGCTCGCCCGCCCTGCACGAACACAACCGAGATGGAGGGGTAGTTGAGGTTGCCGGCGTGGCCCGCCCTCCTCGCGCCGCCGCAGTCCGCCGACCGCCTCGTGATGGCGCGGATGTTCTCCTGCGTGTAGTTGAGGTTGCAGAGGAAGGCGACGTAGTCGCCGGCGGCGGAGTCGTAGACGAGCCCCGGGTCCATGGCCTTCTGCGGGTCGACGTGCCCAGCCCCTAAGTCCATCACCGTGGAGGCATTGCCGGTGGACTCGTCCAGCATCGTCTGGCCCCGGTTGTCCTTTGTATACGCAGTCGTCATCAAGGCCGACTTGATCGCCGCCGGGCTCCAGCCCGGGTGCGCCGCCTTGAGAAGCGCTGCCAGGCCGGAGACATGCGGGCACGCCATGGACGTCCCTGACAGGATATTGAACTCCGTCCGCCGGCCGTCAGCGGAGATCCCCGCAGGCCCCACGCCGTCCGGCCAGGCTGCCAAGATGTTGAGCCCCGGGGCGACGACGTCGGGCTTCAAGATCTCGGGCGACTGCGGATTGGGCCCACGCGCAGAGAAGGACGCCACCACCGGCGCCGGCCGCACCCCCAACCGGGTGCCGCGGAACACGATCGTCGCCGTGGGTGCGCGCTTGGGTGGCGGCGAGTCCGCGATGTAGCGGCGGATGACGTCGCCCCCGGCGGCGCCGACGGCTGTAGCAGGGAGGACATGACAGTCGGCGACGAGCCCCTCGCCGTCGAAGACCCCGTTGGCCAGGATCATGGCGACCCCGCCGGCTTTCTTCACCACCTCCCCCTTGGCGGCCCGCGAGTTGATCCCGCGATCGCAGACGACTATCTTGCCTCGGACTGCGGCGGGGTTGAGGGAGCCCTCGAGGCACAGGGAGGCAGAGTAGCCGTCGCCACCCTCGGAGCCGGCGTAGATGAGCGGGTAGAGCTTCCGGGGGGAGAGCCCCGGTCCGCCGTAGACGCTGACGCCGGGCACGACCACGCCGTTCCCCAGTTTCACATCTGCCGGGAAGTCCCTGTCCATGGAGCCCGCTCCAACGGTGGTCATCCACGGCGCCACATTCGTCACAGTCAGAGGTCCGGGGCCCCCGTTGCCGGCGGACGCCGAGACGAAGATCCCCGCCTCCATGGCCGAGAAGGCGCCGACGGCGATGGCGTCCAGGTAGTAGGGAACCACGACACCGCCGACGCTGAGGGAGATCACGTCGACGCCGTCAGCCACGGCGGAGTCGAAGGCAGCAAGGATGTCGGAGTCGAAGCAGCCGGCGGCCCAGCAGACCTTGTAAGCGGCGAACCGGGCCTTAGGGGCCATCCCGGAGGCGACCCCGCGGGCGTACCCGAGGGTAGACGCCGGGTAGACGTAGCGGCCGGCGGCGATGGAGGCGGTGTGGGTTCCGTGGCCATCGGTGTCCCGAGGCGACCGCTCCTCGGCCGACTCGTTCATCCGGCCGCTGGTGGCCTCGTACCCACCGGAGAAGTACCGGGCTCCGATCAGCTTCCTGTTGCATAGAGAGGCGGGGAAGCCCTTGCCGGCGACGCACTCGCCCTTCCACCTGACTGGGACCGGACCGAGGCCCCGGTCAGAGAAGCTCCGCCGTTCGGGCCAGATCCCCGTGTCGATGACTCCGACCACGAGGTCCGATCCGAAGTCCGACTCCGCCAGCAGCAGCCCCGCGCCGTCGGCCGACTTGAGCCCCAGGAACTGCGGGGATCTGGTGGTCTCCACCTGCCGAACCTGCTCGGGGTACACGGCGACGATGCCGGCGCGGGATCGGAGGGCGTCGACGGCCAGGGGCGACAGCCGCGCGGAGAAACCGTGTAACACGGAGGCGTAGGTGTGGATGACAGCGGCGGGGTGGGGGTCGAGATCGTCGGCGGCGGAGGCTGCGGCCGCCGACAGCGACGCGTCGTACCAGTGCCGGTGGGTGGGGAAGGCGGCCGGCTTAGCCCTCCCGTCGACTCGGACAATGTAGGTCCTCCTCCCCGCAGAGGAGGCCTGATCGGCGCCACAGCAGAGGAAGAGGAGGACGAGAGAGTGGAAAACGAGAGGAGCTCCGTAATTCGCCTTCATCCTAGGGCCGGCTCGCAGAGGGCAGCCAAGGTCTTACGCGGAGACTCCGGCGACGGCGGTGCCCCACATAGCGCAGGGAGGCACTGGAGCAGGCGGGTTGGTAGGGTTTTGGGGGCGGAGGTTGGGGGAGACGGAGGTCATCGTCTGGCCTGCTAGCAGGAAGGAATACATACAGCAGGAGTATCCCCCGCCAAACGAGGTGGAGATGGAGGTGGTGCCCCGCCCCCCTGGAAATATGCGGGAAAATGAAGCTATTTATCTGGACCGTTTATTTCTCGATCGGACAGTCAGGATCCGATCGGCGGGATCTCTCATCCCAGCCGTTGTATCGTCATCCGTCGCCAAAGGGAGGCGTCTGGATGGAAGGCGACGTCTCCTGCGCAGCCGAAGGCACGTGATCGAGCGTGCTGACGTGGGCCGCGACAAAGGCGTGGGCCACCAGTCAGATCACGTGGTTGTCAGGCGGCTCGAGTGATGCGATCAGCTATTATCGTCCGGTAGGCCGCGACCGCCCTGTGTGGAACTGGGCCTCCTTTTCTACGGTCATAAGGGTCAACAATCAAGGTTCGACTGGAGGTTGCACCGTTGACTTACTGAAACATTGACGGAGGCGGGAGAGGAAGTTGCCGGTGGCCTGGTTCTTCCTCGGAGAAGCAATCAGAAGGGACTCACCGTAGCAAGAAAACTATAGTTTTTTAAGAATATGATACATATGCAATGAAAAAGGGCCATAATAGCCAGCGATGATAGGTAATGAAACGGAAGCATGGAGATATGTTTGCTTCACACTAGTAACTTTATAACTTTTCACATCATTTTCAGCTTATGAGCGAGTGGGAAGGAAGGGTTGAGTTGCTTGTTCAAGAAGGATCAATAGTGTAACTTAACTCATCAAGATGAAAAAAAAGCACAAAATTCACAAGTTTTCAATTGTTCTTCCTAATGTTCTGAACCAAGTAATCCCCCCCCCCCCCCAACCCACCACCACCACCACCACCACCACACTGACTCATATATCAATCTCATCTTGGATAGTACAAGCCTCATCTGTCAAAACCCTAATCACACTCGGGTGCATTTCTCCTTCTGATTAAGAATGAAGGTTTTTTTTAACCATCTATTTAAAATTTACAAAGAATGATCTAGCATGAATCTTAGTAATCAAATTTTCTGATTTTAATTGTTTATCATTTTAAACTAAAATCAAATCTTTTTGGCAAAATATTTGTAATTAAAAATTTCCAACTTTCAAAAGGTATGTAGGAATGGCCCTTTTTGGGTGAACCAGGTGAAACAAGAATAACCTCATAATGACAAAACTAATTTGAGTAAACATAAGAGGAAACAGCTCACATATGACACATTTTTTGAAGTCATTGTATGGCGGGCATATTTGACGCAGCAGAAACTAAAAGAAAAGATGATTAGATCTCATTCAGCTATACTTGAGTATTCTACAAGTAAAATCATAACCTTGAGTCCACAAGCAATGTGATTTTGTTGAAAACTCCTTGTCTTGAGTCCACAAAATGCATTGATTTTTCCATTGGATTCATAAGGAGTTTATCTTAAAGTCTACAAGGGAAAAAATAATTCCATGATTCCACAAGGATGCTGTGGAATTTGATAGTACTAATAAGAGGAAGAAACTTATGAAATTTATTAATTGAAACTATAATGACTCTTGGGCTATGTGAGGTGCTATGAACTAGGTTGAAATTTCTTCATTTTGCATCAAAATTATAAGTTCATATGAAATTTAAAAGTAATAAAAAAAAGAAAATAGAAATGAGAGTAATAATAGAAAGAAGATAAGAATAGAAAAGGAATGCAAATAAGAAAAGTCTAAAAATAGAAGAACCTAAAAATATGAGGATACAAATAACAAGAGCTTAAAAAAAAGGGAGTAAAAAATAAAAATAACTCAAAATAAAAATATGAAAGAAGAAATGAAAATATACACACATACACAAACATGACTTGTTATAGGGTCAATTTCATAATTGGGGTAATTTCAACTTGAATGGGTCTTTAGGTTATCTATGCTTTTGCTCCACTTGATATAGACCTTAAATGGGCTGCATAATTACTTTCCAAGGTCTTCCCATATTTTCTTTAGGTTCTTGGTGAGAGCTCTTATGTATTCTTTTCTCACCTAATGAAATTGTGTCATTCCTTGTGGACGTAGGGGTCTAACATATTTTCTCACCTAATGAAATCACATGAAGTTTCTTATTTCATTACTCTTAGTGTGAGTTGATTATTCTGCTGTCTACTATTTCTTGTCATATAGATTATGTGATCATTGTTCAACAATTCCATCATGTGCCTTTGCTCTAACATATGAAAATACAATGTGCATGATGGGTACATGTGCAATGAACTAAATCCTCATTGAGTTTTATTTTTTTGTCAAAGGAAATTATAGATTCCAAAACATAAGCATGACCTTTTAAAAAAAGTTAAAGCATAGCATGCTTTTCATTACTATTTCTCTCATTTTTTCTTAAATTTATTGAAAAAATGTCACGACATTTCTAGGAACCAATGCACGTGCAAATCGTTTCTATCATCAGATACTAGAATTTCTTAGGACCACTTGCCATCATTAAAACTCAATTTAGAGAACAGAGAAGAAAGTACTCCAATGGTGATAGGCCCATGGCATCCCATTGAATGATTACCACCAATAAACAACTTCATGAGTTTCCAAAAAGCACACAAATCCAATGTGAGTACTTTCTACTATAAAAGCAAGGTGATGCTTAAAAGTGGTGAGGCATATATCAAACCAATGAATGTAAGAGAAAAAGCTACTATTCTAAGACAATAGTTTCGGACCCATGACTAGTACAAAAAACCATGGGTTTTAGAAAATCCACTTGTATTAGTGGGGGATACAAAATGTCAATTAATTAATAGCCTACCTTGGAAAATTAGCCCATCTAGATAACACATGGATGTGAGTTAATTATTGTATAATAAATCACATATATTTAAATTTTATAAAACTAGATAATATTATTTTTTTAATTTTTAGAAATATCTTAAGATAAAGAAAATTTTTATAATTTGATAAAAGGTTAAAAAAATAGTATAATTTTTAAAAATTGATTAAGGGGATATGAGATAATATTTTGTAATATTTAAGAATTTTCTTCAAAGAATATGAGTTTTTATGATTTTTAGACTAAGTGACGAATATAAAATATATTTACAAATTTACAAAAAAAAAAATTAGGGTGTGGACGTCAAGATGTTGTCAATGCCCAAAAAAAAAATTCAAGTAAAAATAAAATTATTTCTAGTGATTCTTATGTAAATAATTATAGATGATTTAATTGATCAAGTTAAGATCTGTAAAAATCAAAATAATTATAATTAAATAAAAAAGGTCTTCGTACCTATAAATCACATAAAATATCACTACATTAAGCAAAAATTAAGTTTAAAGCATGAAATATAGAGTTTTTGTTTTGTAGTGTCAATTATTGGAATTTATGTGTTTAAAAAGATTATTGTGCAATGTTTATAATTTTAAAGTCTCATTTTAGATATGGACAATATGACCAATATGACTAATCTCTAGATCTTCTAACGTAATTCAAAAATTAATGATGTAGGTCGATGAATCATCTATAATCATTGTCACTTGGTGAAGTAAAAAATAATGACTTTTGAATCTCTAACAATTGCCACCCAATCAAGATAAGTAAGATAGAGGTGGGGTGCATCTTAGAGAGCTTTATCATTAAATTTACATAGTAAAAAAAGACTCTTCATTCGATTTAGTATACTCTTAAGAGGTGATGACTTATCTCTCATTAGATCACTTTCTTTTTGATGATGACTTATTTGTCAATCAATCGAAGATGATTTTTTTAATAAATTTATAATTTATTATATAAAAATATTTAATAATTAATAATAATACTTTGTAAAATATAGTTGACAATATTTTTATTGATAAATAATTATGACAAGTTAACCATTCCCTAATGATTTATAAAAATATATATAATATAATTAAAAAAATATAATTATGGCTTTGATGAGATTCAAACCCTCTTTAGTCACTTGTTTGTATAAGAGAATTAAATAAATATATAAATATACTTGTCAAGTGACATCATAATAGTATCTCCTTCTTATTAATAAAGGTATTTTAAATATTAAAATTATTGAAAACTTATTTCCAAGTTTTGAGACAAATATATTTTTAATACCTCTTCGTATAGTTTTTTTTTTTCTTCATATAGTTAATATTATCATCTCACATGTGTATGACTACTCTTTAACTCATGTCAAGTTGGCCACTAGTGATGTGGAAGGAGAGTAACACACATGTGACCTCAACTAATCTTTAGTCACTCCCTACTCATGACTTCACTCGACTATGTTTCTAACTTACTTTTGATTGACTTGTGGGTCCCTCAATTGTCTTTACGACCTACTAGTAGTCTCAATTGGACCATGAGTTCCTTCTTTTTTAAAAATTTTATTTTGTTTTATTTCAAAAATAAATTATATATTTTTATAAATTAACATAAAATCACATAAGTAAAATTTACATCAATTAATATATATATTAAATTTAACATAACTATAAATCTATTTATTAAGAGTTAATACTTAAAATATATTATTAATAAATTAACTCATGATAATAAAAACTTATTACAATTACAAATGAAAAAAGATGGCATTCATTTTCATCTAATTTTTTGATATATGAATTGTGTAGAACATATGTATTTATGAGTTAGTGGACTAGTGAACTATGAGTACGTCACACCACTTCCAAGAGACATAGATTAATCCACCCATGTGATTGAGAATGAAGTTCCGGAGTCATGAAATTTCCAATAAATTAAATAATAAGACACATACATTTCGGTGCATTTGCCTCACAACAAGGCAACTAAATCAAACGAATATCAACAAGCAATGCTTTGGTCCACATCCGTCGAGTGAATTCTCGAAACGGCCATCCAAGAACT